CTATCTATCTATCTATCTATCTATCTATCTATCTATCTATCTATCTATCTATCTATCTATCTATCTATCTATCTATCTATCTATCTATCTATCTATCTATCATCCATTACTGTGATTTCACATCTTAACTATATTTTACTGTGAAGCAGGCTTTTCTCAGCTTGTCATTCTGATATTTAACCTGATTTTAAAATCATTCTTTAATTTGTTCCAGTTTATTACATTTGGCTAAGCAAAAAGTTGTTCATTAAAATGATTTCAGACTTCCATGTTAAGTTTTTAAAAGGAAATAAGGTGAAAAAAATAATTTACTATGACAATTATGTCATTTGAAAACAGGATGATTTTTCTTTCAAATTATTTTTGAAGATGTAACCAATTTGTTTTTGGGGCTGCAATAACATTCTGTTATTTCTAAATATCAAAAAAGGGTCCAATACTATAAATGTTAATTTGTATTAATACCTATGTTGAGTGAAATAAAAAGAGCTTAAATTAAAATGCAAACATAGCTCTTTTTACAGTTATTTGATGTATTCAAGCTACCTGCATTAATTTAACAATAAAACTATGAATACAACATATTACTGTGAATTTTTACAGTTAGACACTAATGTTATTTACTGTGAAAAATTACAGTAACATTGTGAAAATCTGGAAAGCTTTCACAGTGTAACCTTTATCTGTTTTATTTTTCTTAGTCATTCTATCTATCTATCTGTATATCTATCTGTATATCTATCTGTATATCTATCTATCTATCTATCTATCTATCTATCTATCTATCTATCTATCTATCTATCTATCTATCTATCTATCTATCTATCTATCTATCTATCTATCTATCTGTCTGTCTGTCTGCCTGCCTGCCTGCCTGCCTGCCTGCCTGCCTGCCTGCCTGCCTGTCACAGATATAAACAGAACCAGTAGATGTCTTCACTCGTCTTCAATGGCATGTACAGTTGTTACAGTCATATAATTTAAACACAAAATGACGTCAGGGATACCCAATATAACTTTAAGTGAAATAAAATACACCACGGCACATATCTAACCAGCGCCAGCTGTAGAAACACAAAGGTTTCACTAGCAGTCTGAAGTCTTCAGAGAGCAATAATTCTTATCTTTCCAAAAAAAAAAAATATTAGCCGAAGAAGAAAAAAAAATATCAGGTTCACATTGAGGCATGTACAGTTGTTACAGTGATGGCGCATTTCTAGTGTTATAATTTAAGCATGAAACTAGGTCAGGAATACTTCACACAGCACTGTAATAACATACATATTGGCTCTAAAACAGCAAACACAGGGAGCAGGAGAGGTGTGTCCCTGTGGGGATTCATTAAAACCAGAAGCACAGCAATAAAAGAGAGTAAGAGGGAGAGAGATTAGCCTACAAGCTGCGCAAGCAATAATTCTTTGACTTCACCTAATTGACAACATCAAAGGACAGGAAACACCAACACACAATACATCCTTTTTTTAGGTTTAAATTTGTCTAAACAATAATGTTCATACTTGTTTCTCAGATTCTACACATCTCAATCCACAGCATTTCCAGCATATTACTCTAAACGTTAATGGTAATTATTTTGGTTTCATTTTGATGGATATTTTTGGTAATTCTGCAATTTTTGCGAAACTTTAAGCAATTTTCTTAATGACTACATGTCAACTAACACTCCTTAAATTAAGCTTAGGGTTACATTTTGTAAAAAAAAAAAAAAAAAACGTGACTTGTTTGCAAAGTTAATGATAATTAGTGGACTATCCACAGTCAAAAAATAAATTTTGCTGCTTAATTTGGTAATAAAAATTAATTTGTGTTGGGGAAACATGGAGTAATTGTGCCAAGTGGAGGAATCCAGCATTTTTTACAGTGTGTTGACCTTTATTAAAATAAAGTGTTAGCTGATATTAAGCAGACAGTCTAATTATACTCCAATGTCTGCTAGTTGACTAGTTGAAAAAGTTACTTATTGCTAACATTATATCAAAGGGCATCAAAACTATAAAAATAAAAGGCCCTATAATACACCCAGAGCAATAAGGCGCAAGATGTGTTTGGCGTGATTTGTTGCTGTTTTTAGACCAGCGCAACTATAATTTTCATATTTTGCACAACGTTGTTTAGCAAATAGCAAATCCATTTGCGCCATTTAGTGGACTCATGGGTGTGCTTGTCTAAAAAATACGTGTTAATGCCTATTGTTGGCACGTTGCTATTTTGAGAAACTAAAATAGACAGCGCCATTGACCAATTAAAAGCTTAAAAGAATTAAAATGTTACAAAAATGATCCATTTTCTACATAAATAAAAAAAACACTACCTTCATGCCTTCTTCCCCTTAAGGGCTTTTATAAGTTTATTCATGACAATTTGCATTAGTATAATATTATTATTGGTAAATATATATGCATACCAGAAATAATGTTAAACCAGCTAGCAAAAACTTTACTTACAGTAAATAGGCTGAAAGTTTCACCTACCAATAAATGCTAATTATTAATTATGATTAATTAGATTTCTCTAATTGTTAGCAGTTTTGTGATTTACAAACATGGCATAGAACAATTAGCTAGTACTGCTGTTGTAAAACTTAGATTTAGTAATTGTCCTTTCGTTTGCATGAACAATTTGAGTTTTTTATCTATAACTTTATCTATAGCTGGTTAGCACTGTAGCTGCTAAAACATCTATTGGTTTATATTTTTTTGTTAAAATGAAAACCGTAAAGTTTTCCCAGTGCTGGAAGGGCATCATCTGCATAAAAACATATGCTGGATAAGTTGGCAGTTCATTCTGCTGTGGCGACTCCTGATTAATAAAGGGACTAAGCCCAAAAGAAAATTAATATAATATTTATATTTGTTTTAATAAAAACAAGTTTAGATTTGTCCTTCTGTCTGGTTTTAGAGATGTATGCATAACCATATGGGGCATATCCATAAGTTTTTTGACCACACTTCATTATTATTGCTCATTTATTCATTTGCTGGAAATTAGAAATGAATTTAGAAACAGTTTTGAAACGTAGGGCCCTATCATACACCCGGCGCAGTGTGGCGCAAGACGCGGCGCAATAGTCTTTTGGTAGTTTCCTCTTGGCGCAAGAGTTGTTTTGAGGTGTTGCGCTACGCTGTTTAAATAACAAATGCATTAGCGCTCATTTGTGCGCCCATAGGCGTTCTGGTCTAAAAAGGGAGGCGTTCTGAGGCGGACCGCTGGTGCGTTGCTATTTTGAGAATCTATAATAGATTTTTCATTAGACCAAAACTAACCCGGTCTAAACTCCGGCGCAGAGTTACACCTCGCTTACACACTGCTTAATACACACAAGAGAACAATAGAAAAATATCTTTACATATGAAAAAATTTAAATATTAAGGATATATATAGTATATAATAAGAATAGATATAGAATATAAATATAAAGGATTAAAATATTACAAAACATATTATTTTCTAGCCAACATAAATATGAAAAATCACTGCTTTTATGTCTTCATCTCGGGAGGCTTTTTCAGTTCATTCATAACAATTTGCTTTTGTATAATGTTATTATTATTAGCAGTATTATTTATTATATCCATATTTATATTTGTTTTATTAAAAAAACAAGCTTAGATTTGCCCACCTGTCTGGTTTTAGACCATATGGGGCACAGCATGTGTTTTAGGATATAACTCAGGTTTTTGAAGACATTTTGTTATTATTATTCATTTATTCGTTTGCTGGATAGTACTGAATTTAGAAATAGTTTTGAAACAAATATTTGCGCTTAACAAACAAAATGATTTATAGGCTAATTGATGTCTGTGCGTAAAGGTTTCGCTATCCAAGAGCGAATGTGAAAGTGATCCATTATCTCTCATTCTCACGCAGTAGATGCTCTGTTTAACAGTTTTCTGTTAAAAAACTGTCAAGTGTTAATTGTTTGCTTGTGAAATGCTCATTTTTTCCACTTAGACTTACTTTGCGTCCTGTAAATAGCGAATGCGCTCTTGGCGCGACGCAGCTGCCTCTTAAAGGGAATGGGAGATGAGGCTCTAATTGGTTTATTCTCAAAACACACCTATAACTCATTAAGTAAATAAACTCAACCCTTTTAGTCCATGCGCCTTGGCGCAAAGCGCATTTTCCCGTCCGTAAATTAGCAAAAATGCGTTCTGACACGCCCTGAAAGCGTTTGCACCCTGCGTTTTGCGCTCTGCACATGGACCGTCAAAATAGAGCCCAAATATTTGCGCTTAACAATCGAGATGAAATATGTAGACTAATGGATGTCTTCAGTGGAGTGCGTACAACACCGTTTCCTTATCCAAAAAAGTAAAAAAGTAAAGTGTAAAAGTAAAGAGAAAGTTAAGAGGGTGAATGGAGGAGGCTCGTTTTTTATCCTTGCTCTGCAGATGGTCTGTTTAACTGTTTTTTCTCTAGTGAAGCATTCAGTTTTTCCACTTATAAAGTCCGCCATGTAAATAGCAAATGCGTCAGACTGGTTGGTTTAATGCAAAAACCACACCCATAACTCATTAAGAGAATAAGCACAACCCTGTTAGACCATGCGCCAGGGCACAAACTGTATTTTTCCATCCCTAAAATATAGCAAAAGTGGATTCGGACACGCCCTTAATGCTTTTGCACCATGTGCTTTAGACTTTACGCCTGGATCGTTAAAATAGAGCCCAAAGTGTTACCAAAATGTTAGTAAATGGGGGAATTTGCAAATTCAACAAACTTATAAGTGTATGAAGATAAAACAATTAAGTTATCACTTAAAATACCTTAAGAATTGTGCTGTTTCAACTCAATTTAAATAAATAGTTTGAACAAGCGGCGAAAGGCATTTTTAGAGTGTAATATTTGTAATAATGCAGGGACTTTTTGACATTTGTGTGAAATTTTTGAATAAATCTTTACTTTTTAGTTTTCTAATGCTCCTAAACATTTAAATCATCTTTACCCTAGCGAGTATTTCATCACAAAAATATCAGGATGACTTAAATCTCACATTTTATTTTTTTTTTATGTGTGCAAAACTCAAAAAAATCGATCAGAGAACAAAGAAAAACTTAAAGTCCTCCTCAAACAGAGAGGAAACAGTGGGGGTGAGGTAAAAACAGATGCTCATCCCTGCAGGAAAGAACAAGATCCCTGTGTCATTCCTTATCTCCACCAGGAATCAACGTGGCCACATCCCCCATCACTTCCTCCAACAAAGACAATACTTATAAAACTTACATTTGTTTCTATTTTATTATGGCTATTATTTAATACCAAATAAAAAATGTAATGGTGTGTGATCAACATTGTTCACTTTCTAAAATGTCTGGATGTTCGTCCCAGAACTGATCTCCGATCACATCGCAGGAATGACTTGTAACCTTCTTTCTGGTCCGCGTTACAGTAACTTCTGTCTCTTCCTCATTCGGCCGCTTGATCTGTTTTGTTGTGGTTTCATTCACCTGAAGGAAAGAGTTTGAATGATTAATGATCAATGGTATTAAAGAGATAACATAATTTGTTTTTGCCAGCTGCGACTTACCTTTTCCCATATTAAAGTTGTGCCTTTTTTATACACAGAGGACTCGTTATTGTAATTGATATTGAACTCGGAAAATAAGATCTCATTCTTATCCGTTGCTAGTGTTCCCTGGGTTTGGGAGAAAATATACAACATTTTTAATAATTGTGTCATTTTTTCTTTACAGGCATACACTCACCGGCCACATTATTAGGTACACCTTACTAGTGCCGGGTTGGACCCCCTTTTGCCTTCAGAACTGCCTTAATCCTTCGTGGCATAGAATACTGGAAGGGTATAGGGTACTGGAAATGTTCCTCCGAGATTTTGGTCCATAATGACATCATAGCACATCCATGATGTGAATCTCCCATTCTCTCTTTTCTGACCATTCTCTGTAAACCCTACAGATGGTTGTACTAAATATCCCAGTAGATCAGCAGTTTCTGAATTACTCAGAAAAGCCTGTCTGGCACCAACAACCATGCCTAGTTCAAAGTCACTTAAATCACCTTTCTTCCCCATTCTGATGCTCGGTTTGAACTTCAGCAGATCGTCTTGATCATGTCTACCTAACCAAATGCATTGAGTTGCTGCCATGTGATTGGCTGATTAGATTGCTGCGTTAACGAGCAGTTGGTCAGGTGTACCTAATAAAGTGGCCGGTAAGTGTGTAATCTGAATGAACCAATTAATACATAAGCTTGTATGAAAACAATAAGGCACGATTAAACACTTATACATTGTAATGACACAAAAAACAAGATTTTGTATCGGGGAAAAATCTTTTTTTTGGCATTCTAAAAATATGACATGAATTTTACTACACTGAAAGGATAAATTAACTTAAATCTCCACCAATTACAGCAAGGTAAAAGGTAAATATATTGAGGGATCATACATTGAGTCTCTCCTCAGCCTGTGTTGTGGTCAGTCCACCTTTTTGCACCAGCGTCCAAAACGCAGTGTTATACAGATTGTTAATGTGACCTGAAAAAGAATATCAAAATGAATGATTTTGGCATTTTAAAATGAGGATAAATCATAAGATGTAATATGTCAAGCTCAATATTTATATCCAAGACAGATAGAATAGAAAAAATAAGATGATATTAATACTTAATCAAACATCACAGCAAACTGCAGTAGTTGAAAAGTAAATAACCCAAATTGCCTTAATTCATCTTACCGTATTGTTTTATACATGGAAAACGTCACAATTAAATATATTTTAGCACTAAAGGTGCAGATTCTATTAGCAGAGTTTGGCAAAATTTGATTAATGCACCTTTAAATACATGCACTCCTTAATCTTCACCAAAATATATTCACTTACAATCTGCTTGCCTCCAGCTCAGATAGTCTCTTACGTTACGGTTGCTGGGATACAGCACAACCCTGCCATCAAAGCTGGGTGGGTAGAGCAGCGGCTGCTCCCCGAAGTACTCCTTCCAGTAGAAAACAAAGCTGGACGAGAACTGGGAAGTCACGTGGGTCATCAGTTTACTGCAGAGAGAGGGAGAAAGATTTTGTGGGCTCTAAACAAGGAATAATTTATATTGAGCAAAATTATATTGAACAAAGTCAAAGCAAAGCAGCATGGGTAACACTTTGTTTTGATGGTCCATTTGAGTATTAGTAGACTGTCTGCTTAATATCTGCTGATACTGCTGCTTCAACAGACACTTAACTGACTATAAGATACTTTGCAAGTACTAACAACTTACAATAACCCTAACCCCAACCTAACAGTCTACTTAGAATCCAATGAGAATTACTTTTGCATGTAGATGCAATGTCACTTAAATTCAACGAACGGACCATCAGAAAAAAGAAAAATGTGCACTCGCGAATAATGAAGCAAAGTGTCTTCTCTTAGGATAAAGACATGTAGCCTCATGAATAATTATGACAAACTGACAGACAATCAATTCTTGTTCTTTTCTTTGCCACTGTACAAATCCACTTTATATTTCAAACAAGGCATATCAAAAGAAAATCTCAACAACAAAACAAAACAAAAATAAAAAATGTACTGTTTTTCACTTACAATTAAAACACCATAGATTCTCAGCTCTTTCTGTAGCTGGGTTTCAAATATGAATCAATCTGTTGCATTGTTCCTTCAAAATGTTCAATCTGGCGTATAATATCGTACTCATTTTATAATCTTAACTATTACTTTTGTTTCTACACTACCTGACAAAAGTCGTGTCGCATATCCAAATTTTAGGAACAACAAGTAATAACTTGACTTCTAGTTGATCATTTGGTATCAGAAGTGGCTTATATAAAAGGCAAAGGCCTCTAGATTATGCTTATTTTACTAAACAAAATATGATCATGTCTTGATTTTTTTATTATTTAATTAGGACAGTAAGGTCTGACTTTGCTTAGACAAAAGTCTTGTCACTGAACAGAAATAATGTACAGAATAGAATATAAACTCATGCTGCAGTGGAAAAAGAATGAATATTGTGTCTGACTTCAATGAGCTTAGAGGACTGCATCCATACATCTCTGCAATGACTCTAATAACATATTAATAAAGTCATCTGGAATGGCAAAGAAAGCGTTCCTGCAGGACTCCCAGAGTTCATCAAGATTATTTGAATTCATCTTCAATGCCTCCTCCATTTTACCCCAGACATGCTCAATAATGTTCATCTCTGGTGACTGGGCTGGCCAATCCTGGAGCACCTCTTCTTTGCTTTCAGGAACTATGATGTGGAGGCTGAAGTATGAGAAGGAGCGCTATCCTGCTGAAGAATTTCCCCCCTCCTTTGGTTTGGGCAGCACAAATGTCTTCATACCTCAGGCTGTTGATGTTGCATCCACTCTGCAATTACTGAATGTGACTCCAAACCATGATTTTTCCTTCACCAGACTTGACTGATTTCTCTGAGAATCTTGGGTTCAAGCGGGTTCCAGTATGTCTTCTGCAGTATTTGTGATGATTAGGATGCAGCTCAACAGATGATTCATCTAAAAATAATCTACCTTCTGCAACTTTTCCAAATCATCAACCAGAGGACAAGTTATTATTTGTTGCTTTTACAACTGAGATCGACGACTTTTTCAGCTAGTGTAAATATATATTCTGTTATTCCTCTTGGTTTTTACTTCTATGTTTTTTAATTATTATTTTATTATGTACAGTAGTTTGTTTTTATGTACAGCTCTTTGCATCTGTTTTTAAATGTGCTTTATAAATAAATCAACTTGAACTCATATAATATATATGTTCATATAATATGTGCCAGTACAGTACAGTAACAATACCTTGCCCTTCTTTTAAACCAATTGGTTGATCTTTTGAAGACAAAGCTGAACTCGTCACTTTGTCCATAGGCTATAGTGATGTCGTCCAGCTCCTCCATGACCGAACAAGCACTGCGGCTCATCAGACCCAGAGCTCTGTCATCATTGGGTTTAGTGAAGTTGTGCTGATCTGAAAACCTGCAATGTTGGAAATGACTTCAGCTTTCACATATCATGTTCTACCCTATATGTAACAAAACTTTACACACATACATCTTTATTAAATTATTTATTTTATCTTTGTCATGATGACAGTATATAATATTTGACTAGATATTTTTTAAGACACTTCTATACAGCTTAAAGTGACATTTAAAGGCTTAACTAGGTTAATTAGGTTAACTAGGATGGTTATGGTAATTAGGCAAATTATTGTATAATGATGGCTTGTTCTGGAGACTATCGGAAAAAAATAGCTTAAAGGGGCTAATAATTTTGTCCTTAAAATGGTTTAAAAAAATTTTAAACTTCTTTTATTCTAGCCGAAATAAAACAAATAAGACTTTCTCCAGAAGAAAAAATATTATCAGACATACTGTGAAAATGTCCTTGCTCTGTTAAACATCATTTGGGAAATATTTAAAAAAAGTTAAAAAATCAAAGGGGGGCTAATAATTTCAACTGTATATTATGTCAAAACAAGCTTTTATTTTAGATGTGTCACAATTAATCTTTACCCAATACTAATTCTATTTCTGTTATGGCACAACAACAACAACAAAAAAATAAAACATTTTACAAAAAATGTAAAACCATAAGTCTTACTGTTTTCCCAATTTTAAAGGAAGAAGTCAGAGCTGTAAGATTAATAATAGGACTCTGTGGCAGAGATGGACTTCCAGTATCGCACCCTGTGATGTAATATAACATTGTAACAACTGCCACTATTACAAATGTGACTTACTTGTGGAAGTTGCGTCCATCCAGCCGAACCACAATGTAGCAGTTTCTCAAACATGTGTCGTCAAGCTCAAAGTTTCTCACGTACTCAAACTTGCTCTTGGCCATGACAGATGATGTGCTGAATTTCAGACATAAGACTGTCTTGTTTCTTCTAAGTCTCTCAAAGTTTTCCAGTAACGGCCTCAGCATAAGTATATCGGACAAAAACGAATTCTTTAATTGGTTTAACTTAATTCATGATGTTGATTCTGAATATTTGTGAGGGATAACTGGTTAACTGACAACAAGCCAGCTTTCATCTTTCGAAATAGCGTTTGATAATTCTCCGAAAGAGCGTGAAATTGTAGTTATCTGTAAATCTTAAAACGCGTAATGTTACTGAAAATTCAAGGTTATAATGTTTACAAAATATTTACATCTCAACAGGAAGCATGCTGTGTCAAAACTCACATGCGAGCGAACAGTGTTGTATTGGTCCGTCAGCTTAAGCAGTCCCTCAAAAACAGTTCTGACAATTCTGTTCCGCTGTAAAGTCTAGAAGGGATACAGCTGTGGATACGCACCTCATTCCTTCAATAATTTTCCTTCGGCTTAAGTCTCTCTGTGTCAGGGGTCGCCACAGCGGAATGAACCGCTATCTTTTCTAACATATGTTTTACACAGCGGCTGCCCTTCCAGCCCAGTACTGGGAAACACCCATACACTCTCATATTTAAACACACTATGGTCAATTTAGTTTATTCAACCTATAATTCATATCTTTGGACTGTGGTAGAAACCCACGCTAACACGAGGAGAACATGCAAACTCCATAAAGAAATGCCAACTGGAATGGGATTCGAACCTACAGCGACCTTCTTGCTGTGAGTCGACAGTGCTAACCACCAACTGACACTGTACAACAATAATTACTGTTTTTACGTACTGAGGGTTTGGTTTAGGGATGAGGTGGGGTCGACATTAATACAATACAATTAATGGGTAATTTAATAAATAATATAGATATTTTCGCTATCGTCTAGCTGCTCTGGCATTCAGTCCACAAAACATCAGCTGCAGTTATAGTCTTGCCTTTTCCTTTAGCGTAGTCCCTTTATTCATCTTGGGGTCGCCACAGCGGAATGAACCGCCAACTTATCCAGCATGTTTTACACAGTGGATGTCCCTCCAGGTGCAACTGGTGCTGGGAAACACCCATACACACACATTCACTACTGGACTGTGAGGGAAAACTGCAGCATTCGTAGGAAGTCCACGCCAACATGGGAATAAAATGCAAACTCAGCCGGGGCTTGAACCAGCGACCTTCTTGCTGTGAGGCAACAGCGCTACCCACTGAGCCACCGTATAACTGTAAGTTACAATTTATTATTTATAATTTTGTTATATATTTTTAGGCTAATTCATGTAAGTATGCTGCATACCCAGTGCAAGAAAAACAAGACATAAATTGAGCTAGTGAATATTTGTGTGTTTTATTAGCAAAAATCAAAGTATAAATGATCTTCACACAGCCTTCATCTTTTGAACATATTTAGAAAAATAGCTGTAACTCCAATATTGCACTCTCAAAACATTCAACTCATACAGAAATACATAACAGTAATGTTAAAATCAAACCCACTTCACTCAAAATCACTCAGATGTGATTAAAAAAAGACATTATTATTAATTGTAACACTTGCTTATTAGTAGTTTGGTAACACTTTACTATGAGTTAACATTTATTAACGTTAGCAAATTGCATTGATTAACAATAGCAATGAACAATACATTTGTTTTAGTATTTATCTGTTCGTTTTATATCGCTAGTTCATGTTAGCTTATGTTCATTAATGTTATTAGATAAAACGTATTAGTAAATGTTAATATTAACATCAGCGAAAATTAATAAATGCTTTCATTAAAGGTACAGATCACCCAAATATGACAATTCTGTCATCATTTACTCACCCTTTACTTGTTTCAAACCTGTTTGAGATTCTTTCTGCTGAAGATGCTTTGGTAAATGTTGGAAACCTGTAACCATTTACTTCCATAGAATTTATCAATGTTAATCAACTTCTAACATTCTTCAAAATATCTTCTTTTGTGTTTTGTAAAAAAAAAAAATTCTCATAAAGGTTTGGAATTACGTAATGGTGAGTAAATTTCATTTTTGGCTGAACTTTAGCTTTAAATTGCAAAATTGCTTCACAATGTGAGGAAGTTGCTCAATATGCCTACAATGGAAGTCAATGGTTACAGCCCTAGTAGCAAAGAATTCTGGCCCAGATTTGGCAAAAAGCTGGCACAGCAGGCATTCATCCGGCACTGGCATACAGCATGTGGGCCAAACATGGCCCGGGTTTGGCAGAGGTGGCACCGTTTTTAAGGCGGCACACAAGATTTGGGCCAGATGAAAAACGTAGTATTTGGCCCAGATTTAAAAATTTGATAAGTGGGCCATGTGACTTTGGCCAGTCTTGACCCACATTTAAAATACACTAAAATCATTTTTGAGTAAAGAAAAAAATTCTACCAATCAGGTCACTTTGATAAAAAGCGTGCCCATAGTGTGCCTAAAGCGCATCACTCCATGGGTTTATCAATTTCATTGCAATCGTGACACACCAACCTATCTGTCCCAGTTCAGGCCCAGTTATGAGTTATTAACTTGGCTGAGACTTGGCCCAGATATGGTCTGTGTTTGGCCCTTGTCTGGAAGCCAGATTTGGTCCAGTCATGTACCGTAATTCACTGCGGCATGTGGGCCAAGCCAAACCTGATTGTGTGGGCCAGAGCTGGGCCAGATAAATTTTGCTATGTGGGAGGTTTTCTATAACCATTTTCTTAAAATTGAATTTTTGTAAGATTCCTTCAAAATAAATATTCTTTTTTGTGTTCAACAGCAGAAACAAACTCATAAATGTTTGAAACCGTTTGACAGCGAGAAAATAGTTAACTTTCATTTTTGGGTGAACTATCCCTTTAATTAATGTAAACAAATGGAGCTATGCAAAGTGTTTCCCTATTTTTTATTTCTCATCTTAACTTGCAGTAGGTTTTCTCTACTGTATATTAGTGTACTGAAAACATTGGGATGAGTATTGCAAAAACACTCGTAAACAAACATAGATATGAAAAGCGAAGAGATGATAAGGTCGTCCACCTCAGCAGCGGCCATCTTTCACAATCAAAATGTCCGCATTAGAGTGCCTAAAAAACAAACACTTTTTTTTAGTGATACCTCAGTGTTACTGACTTATATAACCCTATACTGTAATGCTCGTATCCCAAACAAACAGAACAAGGGAATGAGCTCACATTCTCTGCACACACAGGGTGCATTCATTGACGTATGTGTTGCCATCATTACCGCAGACAGGAGAGTAGTTGAGAGGACATGCCTGACTCACACTCAAACCTCCACATGCAGGCTGTCAGGAGAAAAACACACATGCAATGCGCAATTATGCATCATAACTCGACTTGCTCTGGCCCATATAGAAAAATTATACATGTAAATATATACAAACAACATATATGTGATACCATGTCATATTTAAATTTTATATATAAAATATGTCATACTTGCAACATATACTTAAATATTTGTAAAATCAATTCGGATAACATATATTCATATATTTTGCTAAAATGGCAACTTACATTTGTATTTTTTTCAACCATTCAAATACAGTATGGTAATTTATACAACAGTTCTGTCTGATTCTCGGATCTGATTGGCTGATAGCCGTGTGATATTCTGCAGTAACAGCACTAGTACAGCCTCTTCACACTTGTGTATTACTCCGCCAACGTAGAGTGGCAGCAGAGGAATAATCTCACTACAGTTTGACAAATATTGCAGCGGTTGGACAACAGAATGTACTTTTGAGGCTTTTTTACATGAAAATGTAGTTGTTTAGAGTGCAACTATGCAACTATAAAGATAGTGCCTATTTTATATATTTATAATTTCTGAGATTAAGCGCATTCGGTGGCCATTAGCCTGTCTTTGAGCAGAGCAACGACAATTGACGTTCCGCCAAAGGTGGCGACAGGGTGAAGTCTAGATCGGATACGCGGGTGGCTGGAAATGCGATATGCACAATATTATAGCAGTATTTTTCATGACACTGTATAATGATAATTAATATTTTTACAGTACTGTGATGGTTGAGTTAAGGGTTGGGGTGTGGGTATGCATTAAAAAATACAATTTATTGAATTGAATAATTAAATACTAGAATTGTAGAATTAAATACTATTTAATAGATAACATAAATAATACTTGGTATAACATTCCTTTGACGGTTGGGTTAAGGGTTAGGGTGTGGGACGTTAATAAAATACAATAAATGGGAAATTTAATAAATAATATAAATGATTCTTGTTAACTTCCTGCTGCTTTCCCAGAGATGGGTTGCGGCTGGAAGGGCATCCGCTGCGTAAAAACTTGCTGGATAAGTTGGCGGTTCATTCCGCTGTGGCGACCCCGGATTATTAAAGGGACTAAGCCGACAAGAAAATGAATGAATGAATGAATGAATAAACTTCCGGCCGCAACCATATCCGATCTAGCAACAACCTGGCAACAGAGACCGCATAATAAGTCCTTAGGAAAGAAAAACAGCCTTTTTTACAGCTGGACAAATCATTTAAAAACAGGTAAGTGATAGTCTAAGTCGATATCTCTCTTCTGTATGTTGTGCTGTATTTAGTATTTGGTAGGATTTGCTTTGATTCGGCTTTTTCAGGGTTAATATTTGTGATATCCTGATTTCAACAGAGAATTACTGAAATCTTTCTAGACTGATGGCATTTCATGCCGTTCAGCCTTATAATCTTAAAATGTGAGCAAAATAACCAGTTTTGTCATAACTTTAGATATTATGCTACAGTAGAGATGTCCAAACTAGGTCCAAAGTTGGACCATGGTAATCTTTGATTTGGCCCGCCATCCCAAATAAGAAGGTGTGGAGGATTTGGGAGAATGCCTTTAACAGAGATCGCAATTTCTAATTTAACGTAATTTTTTGTTTGTTGATTTATTGCTAAGCTAAAAAAAAAATCTAACTGAAAATAAACATTTCAATTAAATGTTGTAAATGAATCAGATTTTTTTTTAAAATATAAATACTTGCTTAACAGATAGAGAACATTGCAAAAGACAATTATGGCAAAAAAAAAACTGATGCAGCTTGACAAGTGCATCTCCTTTCTGTTATAAATGAGATTTTTTTTTTGTACGATAATAAGTTCCCTATAAAGTTTTCAAATATATACTGCATTAGTTAATCTAAAGCAATGTTTTCTGGTTATTTTTAAATATTAAATAAATCAGAAAATCACCAATGGCAACTTTAATGCAATAGCTTTTGGTGTATTTACCTTCGACCAATCGCCCTTAATCAAGATTGGTTCATGGCCCTTTATAAGAAAAGGTTTGGGCAGCCCTCCGCTAGAGAATCATTTAAACACTAGCTTTAAAGTGATGTTTGTGGATTAGCAATGGTTTCTGCTGTTCTGATGTCGGCTGCAGATGTGAATGAATGGCAGATGAAAGGGTTTTTAGACTCTCTATGTTTGATTGTCTTTTTTATATGCACGATTATGCCATCGAACTGTTGTATAAGTGCAATATCACATTCATACCAGTGCGAAATGAGCACGCCTCTCACCAGTGCTGATATACAGCCATATCACACTGCTACGAATGTGAAATTGCTTATATATGGCCATATACTGTATGATTGCATAAAATTATAACTAATGTATTTGAACACATATTTGCAAATCTGTAACTCTAATGTAATTCCAGTCCAATTTTTACAGCCAAATACTGTGTGAACACATATATAAAAATGATAGGAATAACATATTTATGCATATTTGTAATTCTTTTTTATATTAGTTGTATCTATGGTATATACTGTATATAAGTAAAATCCAAATATGAACTATAGGAGAAGGTGGTTAATGCAAAAATTTAGACTTACCCTGCGGTAGAGTCTAGACTTATCCTCTGCACCTGAAAATATGCAAAAATTGCTGAATGCACAGTGGTCAAAACGGAAAGCAGAAGCCATTAAACCCAACAATACAGTGTATTACAGTAAAGGGAGACTTACCAACGGAAAGGATGAAGACCAAACTCACCAGAACCACTGCTGTTCTGCTCATGATACTCAACTGAAGATTTCAAAAGCTTTTTAAAAGTTTGTAGATTCAGCCTTCAAGCTTCGACTTGGCAACTGATGACTTCCAGCTGGTTTCTGAGTGCTGTATTATTGATGGACAGCAACATATATTTGTAAAGTGAGGAGGAGGAGGAGAGGTGTGGATATTTTGACGGCAGTCCGCTCCACCTACCCAGCGTCCCGCGTCAACAACAGTGAGAGCCTCTCTATTGTCTCTCTTTATTAAGGGATAAACATTCCAGTCTGTCTAAAAAATTGCTGAGCACAATCCAAAATGCATTGGTCTGTATAATATCCTTCAAAACAGGTCTGGCTGGGAGGTGTGTCCCTGTTTATCGGCCCCAAAGTGAAGTGAATGGGATTCCATTAAACATGGAATGCAGTTGACAATACTTGCGTAATAATACTAATAATAATAATTAACTAGATGATTGAGCAGGGAAATGGGAGAGAAGAACAGAAATGCGAATCAAAACTGCACTGCAAAAGATTATAGGATCAATTAGTGCTGACAGCATATGTTTTAGATCATTGTAACTTAGTAATCTAAGTTAATCATGTTCTAACTTAATTTTATAATTAACGCTAGCCATTTTTAATCAGTTTAACATAATATCAGTTCAATATACTCATTAGGTTAAGTTCATTCATTTATTCATTTTCTTTTTTGGCTTAATCCCTTTATTAATCTGGGGTCGCCACAGTGGAATGAACCGCCAACTTATCCAGCATATGTTTTACGCAGCGGATGCTTTTCCAGCTGCAACCCATCATTGGAAAACATCCATACACTCTCATTCACACATACACTACTGACAATTTAGCCTACCCAATTCACCTGTACCGCATGTCTTTCTCCAAACGCGGGAAGAACATGCAAACTCCACACAGAAATGTCAGCTGACCCAGCCGAAGCTCGAACCAGCGACCTTATTGCTGTCAGGCGATCGTGCTATCCACTGCATCAACGTGCAGCCCATAAAGTTAAGTTGATTCAGCTTGAAAATTTAAGGCAGCCAGGATGTTTTTACAGTGTAGGTATATTTTTTCTAGTGTTTGAATATCTATATTTTCTTTAAGTATAAAATAGAACTTTCCTGATTTTAACACTTTTCATATATTAAAACAATTTAAATATGGGATAAACACAAAGTAGGAATTATGTCTGTAACTGTACACGATATACCATGTAACTGTAACCTCCAGTAGGCCTAATACATTACACACTTTAAAAAAAAGTTGACTCAACTTAAAATTTAAGGAAATCAGCTTCAATAGATATTTGAGTTTACTCAACTTAAATCTAGTCAAGTGCGGTTTTGAGTTGAAAGTCATTTCAAAATTTTATTTTTTTTTCAAAGCTCTTGCCTTACAATTTTGAGTTGAGCCAACTTTTTTACAGTGTGGAAATATTAAGATTTATTAAAAATGAAATCTATGCTCATCAATGCTCATTTATGCTCAATGCTCATTTATTTAAAGTAAAAAAATAACAAATTAACTAATAAAATAAATGTAAAAATGTACTGAATAAAAACAAATAATAAAAAAATAAAAAAATTACATTATATATATATATATATATATATATATATATATATATATATATATATATATATATATATTTATATATGCACCTGTTTTTTGTCTTCATTGTCTTCTGCATTGTCCTCTATCTGTTGAGTGAAACGTTCATTTTCAGTTTGATTTTTATTAGTTCAGCTATAAAACAACAAACAAAAAAATAGTTAAATTAGAAATTACGATCTCTGTTAAAGGCATTCTCCCCAATCCTCCACATCATTTTCACTTCTTATTTGGGATGGTGGAACATGGTGGATTAAAATGTGCTTGTTAAAAATAAAATAAAAATGTAATAAAGTGTCATTTCAAATGTAATAAAAATAATTAAAAAATAAATTTATATATATATATATATATATATATATATATATTATATATATATTTATTTATTTATTTTAAAATGTGCTTGATATCAGTTTCAGTATCATTACTCAAGTCTTGATTCATCACATGATTCTTCAGAATTTTTTCTAAATGAAAGATTTTGCTATTCTTCTTTGACCAGTGATCATTGGTGCTCAGTTATTAATAATTTGTCTTTTTTGGAAACTGTTATATATTTTTATTTTCAGAATTCTTTGATGAATAGAAAAAAAAATATTCATTTTTTACTCATTCACTTACCTTTTTTATATTTATTTTTTAATCCAAATGAACTCCTTTGTATGAGCACAAATCTGTTTGCTCTCATTGTTAATTTAATGTGTTCTAGATTAATAAAATATTTCTTAAAGAATACATGAATGCTTCCTACAAATGATTTAATAGAGCCTGTCACAGTTTCCATAAAATATAATATATAATATAATATATAATGAAATAAAGCTGTTTTCAAATCTGACAATTACTGAATGATCATCTGGACTAGTAATACAAAATAAATCAGCTTTTACCACAAATAATGTTAATAGCCTAGTTATTTTAAATTGAAATTATATTTCAAAATGTTGCAGTTTACAAGTATGTGTGATCAAATAAATTAAAACTTATAGTAGAAAAAACTTCCTCACATGAGAAAATCGTAATGTTTTCAAATAGTTGACCAATAGTGTATCGAATAACTCTATAATTCAGCAGTGAATCATTTAAAATCATTGATTGCTGTTACAAAGGAGCTCAAGTTTCATGCAGTGAACTTGAACGACACCTTTCGGCTTCCGTACTCACTGTGAAGTGAACTTTGCACACAGCTGCACGTTTGATATGGCATGTCAGTCACTCTGCAGATACACTTCTAGACTTACATTGAGTGAAATGATAAAATTACGCAGTATTGTCCGGAGCGCGTCACGGCACGCAGAACGATGTCTGACCGTGAAAAACCGACTTACGGTGAGTTTAATCAGCACTCGCACGTTTAATTTAGGATGAAGTGCAGTATTACACACATCCATCAATTTAGCTTTCATTAATTGAATTCATGTGATGATATTTAATGTTTTCACCGCATGAAAAGACAAACGCCAGTGTGTTTGGAAGTGTGTCAGAGGACGAGCTCCATTGTCATTCACATCATGAACATGTAACTCAACTGTGTTTGTTCAACACCTGGCAGCGTGAAGAGTTACAAAAACATTATATCACTGCAGTTTAATAATCCAAATAGAAACAATATGTCATCCATTAATGTGGGAATGCCATTCTCGTGTATGCATCTAGCTTACTTTGATTCATTACGCAATATCCAAAGTTTGGGTTTCCTGTCAAAATGTTTATATTTTGCAATCTACTTAGAAAATTATCTGTACCTTATTTAATAAGCATAACATTTGCTGTAATAAAATTGAGGTAACATTTGTTTTGTATTCACACATTCGAAGTTTCTTCTTAATAATATAATTTCAAAAAAGTATTATTTGTTAGTTTTAAATATTGAAATCAGCCAATGACTATCAAAGTACAACATTGTTATGTCTAATAGTGCTAAAATTGTTTTGAGGTCATACTTGCATTTAATAACACCTACTATTCAAAGTACCATAGTTAAAAATATAGGGAGCATGTCACAAGTTGTCACTGAACAAATGTAAAAAAAATAAATAGAAATAAATAGAATAAAAAATAATATCTCCATCTAATCATGTATATTGATTATAAAGTCTCCAAAGTTTAGGCTTTCTGTGAAAATGTTTATATTTTTCATTCTACTAAGAAAAATAACTGTACATTATAAAAAAAAGCATAATATTTTCAGTGAAAAGTCTTAGTTGGTGTCTCTATTTGCTGTAAAAACATTTTCACCAGCATCTGAAATATTAAGCAATTTTGCCTGTTTGATTTTGTGAACTAAAATGGTTTCATTTAATGCATTTTTTAATTAAATGTCAACTTATAAACACATTCTTAACTATTAACGATTAAGTAAACATTTAGGGATTTATCTATACTATTAACTATATAATTTGGGGTGTATAGTGTAGGGTTTGACCTTTGTACCGAAATGGGAACAAATAGAATGTAAACATTTAGTTTATCTTTAACATCATACACGGAAAAGCAGTGCTGGTATGTTAATTAAAAAATGAAATAATTACAAATCACATCAATAAAGTTGAATTTAAATTTATTTTCTAATTTAATTATTCAATAGTTAATTTAATTGCTTGTCTCAATAATAATTAAAATCCTTACAAATATCTAAAAGTAGAATAAAAGTCAAATTGCACCTTTTAGATTTATGGAAAAAATAATAAATAGAAAAGTTAAACAATAATATAATTATCAAAAATGTTTCAATGCAGTGACACCATGTTTCATGCCTACCATATATTTTCATTATTTATTACTCGATTAATTTTTAAGGTAGTGCGATTGTCTTAATAAATGTAACCTCCTGTAGTTTAAATGTAGAATTGTTCTGCGCAATGCATATTTATGTAACAACAATGAATACAATTACTTTTCTGAATTTCTGACAAAAACTTTTCTGAATTGATACAAAATCATTGACACTATACCACCATATTGAAGTGCTCAAAAATGGCTAATTTAAAGAGCCTTTAGACTGAAAAGGTTTCAATTCATGGACACTTTTTCTCCTATTGTTCTTTGCACATATGCATAGTCCGTCTCACAGAAGAAGCAAGATTGTGCGTAAGTGAGTTTTAGGACAGTGGTTCCCAAAGTGGAAGTTGCGGGACATTGAGGGGGGTGGGGGGTCGCTTGGTGATTTCCAAAAATCTAATTGATTTTATTAAACTATTAGAATTACTATGTTTAATCCATAACCACATTAAAATACATTAAAAACATGCATGTATTAACAAAGCAACATGCAAATAAAAAAGCCACCAGCCTTTTTTGTTTTGTTTTTGTGCCCCCTGGGAAGATTGCGTCATGTTAAAGACACCACATATTGATTTTATGGCACCAGGTTAAATTTCTGACACCTTTACGGCCCTCACGTACTTCAAAAGTAAAAACAGGTTACAACTGAACATAGACTATGCTCTCCGAGTGGCATTTTTCAATATTAAATGAGGAATAGGCTTGGGCCTATTGGTATTTGTGCGCTGTTGTGTGCAAAGTTTATATATTTATAAACCCCTCAGAGGATATTGGGGGTCGTGAGTCACTGGCATTGTTATTTTGGGGCTAAAAAGTTCGGGACAGTTCTGAACAGTTCTATTAAATACCACATGGTGTCACTGTCAGTTCTTATTTGTGTTTTTTAGCAGCCCAGCGCTGCATGGATCACCACCGGACCCCAGCAGCAGCACGGGACCTTCTATGAGTTTCGCACATATTACATTCAACCACATCTGAATGCTGCCTTCCTCAAACTGACCAATGAGAAGATCCAGCTGCGCACGGCCCACTCGGAGCTCATCGGATACTGGACTGTGGAATACGGAGGTCTCAATCAGGTCTTCCACATCTGGAAGTATGGTGAGAATGAGCTCTTAAATGTGTCTTGTACGCTTTTAAACTTTTTTATTGAAGTAAAAAATTCAACAAAATATTGAAATTACTCTTTAATCTGTTTC